AAACGCACGTAATTAGAGAAAGGAAAAGAACAGCATGATACTTACACTTGCCGGATATAAAGCCGGTATACGGATGCAGGGTGGCATCCGGCGCCTGCCACGCGCCGGAGACCCAGAACCACTCCGGCATATAGCCGTGCAGCGACTCCGGTATTTTGTTCACCAAGGACCGATCCACCCCGGGAGCAACGGAACTGTAGTAATTGCCGGCGTTGCCGGACTTCTTGAAATTCAAGAGAGCCCGAATGTCCGCACTCGTGAGATCGGCCCACCCCTGTTTACGGAACAGGACGATCAGACCCACCAACCGCGCAAAAGCCGTCGGAACGAGTTGGCTAATCCCGATGCCGAGGTCGCTCAGAATGTCGCTCAGAGAGCCGGGTAGGGGAAACCGAAGTCCGAGGCGAACGCTGTGGCGGTAAACCCCGATGCAACCTGGTGGGGGACAGTGAATGCGCTCGCCGGCGTACGGGGCGAAGATCTGGATGTCGGGGCCAAAACTCACTTTGCCCCTCAGCTTGACCAGGTCAACGTCTCCCAAAATAGACGGCGTGTTCCAGGCCGACATTTTCGTGGCAGTTGGCCACGAGCGAGGGGGACGACGCCAACTCCCAGGAGGGGCCGAAGTCGCAGCCTCAACGGCGGCATCGGTCTCGGCGTCGCCCAGTCCCATTGGAACCCGTTCACGCCCGCCGATATCACCCCGGAGGGTCTTCTCGACCAGGACGGGGTCGACGTCCGAGTCGCTGTCAGAAGCCACGCCGTCCGGGACAGCCTTATCTCCACCGTCGGATTGGCTGGAGCCGAGGTCAACCATATCGACCACCGGGATTCGTGAGGGCATCTCCCCTAACGGGTCAGCCGCCGCCGCCGACGGCCGAGTCACGCGAACGGCCGTAATCGGCGTCGCCCGGAGAGGTTGTGCCGCATCCACCGCCGGCGGAGAGTAAACCACGATCTCGCCCGTCTCCTCCGCCGTTAGCCTCTCACCCTCGCCGGAAAACGCCGCGGAGTTCGAAAAGCCCGACATATCGGTAAAAGGAAAAAGGAAGGGAAGAAAGAACGAGAATTACCGAGAAAAAGCCTTGGGTGCCGAGTTGCGGAAAGCTCCGGGAAGATTCAGAAGTCCTCTTGCTGTTTTGCTCTGAAATTCGCCCAAAATCGCAGAGAAGGTAAAACTTCTCGAGGAAGACGATGGTACATATATATATGAACTTCGGTCCAATCGGTGAAGGCCACGTGGCACCGATTGAAATTCGAAAATTTAATGAGAAAGGCGGTTCAGATCGGACGATGGAGATCGAAGTAATCCGACGGTTTATGTGAACCGCGTGAATCCCACGCGCTTCGTAACCGCCCAACCCACCGAGACGACGCGACATCCTCCGTGGACCAATCAGCTCTTGTCACGCGTAAAGGTTCTGAAACGGCGCGCCTTTTCAGGGCCGACGGGAATTACAACGGTCACGTCGCATTAATGGAGACGTCGCTTCATCTCGCGTCATTAATGTACCCGAAGCAGGAAAAGTCCGATTCAGAGGGAATCGGAAACGCCGGCATGAGAATCGACGAGCTCGGGACTGAGCGTTAGAGTGACGGCCTCGAGTTAGATGAAAAAGCCTCTAACCCGAGCCCGGGGGCCTGTATGTTGACAACCGATTCGGTCTGGGCCGGATCGGATACTCAGCCCCTCCGGATCGAAACAAGAACCCGGTCTGATGAGAAAGTGCCGAGCTGGACCGCGGATTAGAGGGGCGGGAAGCCGCCTTGGGAACAGATTCTCAGCCCGGCGCCCGACTCAGACCGGGGAGCTGCCGACCTGGATGGGTGCCGGACAGGAAGGAGATTACTCGTAGTCTCATGAGCGTCTACGAACGAAGTGCCGACCTGAAAGTATGAGGAGGCCGACCAGGGACGACGAGCGGGCCTCAATGAACATTAAAATATTCCCACTTGGGAGGTCATCATTGGACGATGGGACAGGTAATCATGGCCTAGCCCCCTACCAGCCAACCTGAGTCAGCAAAGCCATCCAGCATTAAATGCCCCCCATGCTGGCATTTAATGCTCGTCAGGCAATGATTGAAGAAACCTCAAATCGCATTAAATAAGCGTCAGGGAGACGCCGAACTGCCCTGCAAGATTACTGTGCGACAAGACCGGTGAACAGTAGCTGAATAGTACCATATTAAAGACTACTATAAATAGCAGCTCATTTCATTTATTTTGGGTTGTTGAATCCCAACTAACTCTACTTCATCTTTACTTTCTCTCTCTAGAAATTGTGAAAAACTTGTTGTAAAAACTGTAAGTATATCACAAGTGCCGACCTCGTACGAGAGGCCGACCCCGTGATCGTTTAGTAAAATCGTGATTAAACCGGACCATTCTCCCGTTTCTCAATCTTACTTTCGATATTCTTAATTTTTAACCGTTGACCGAAAACGCTCGTCAACAAATTCATTAAACATAAATGTAGATAGAAATGTGTGAAATGAAGTTTAGTTAAAATTATGTGAGTTGACTAATAGTAAATTAAAGTTAATGTAATATGTAAAAATAATTGGTTGACATTATTTAATTATATCGATAATATTGAGAATGGTGGAATTACGTTTGATTTTTGGTATAAATTAAATATGGATTCAGTATTTTTATATACAGACATACCCTCGTTTTATTTAAATCACTGATGAATAAACTCGAGAATAATTTGTAGTTTTTTAAAATTTACTTAACTTTGTTCATTAAAATTTAAATTCAATGGGATAATGTGATAAATAAGCTTAATTTGAACTCCTTTATTGATTTGATTATATAGTGGATGCTTGGATAAAAAATATCTAAAAAAAAAAAATCAATCATTTTTAACCAATTATTTTTTAACTCAAATTTAACTCAACTTCGACTCAACTTCACTATTCTCAGTATCATCAATATAATTTAATAATATCAATTATTCATTTTTACACATTACATCAACTTTAATTTATTATTCATTTGCTCGCATTATTCTAACTAATCATCACTTGACATTATCTATTTTATATGTTTACATCAAACAGCTCTAATTGTTTTTATTTTAATTTTTTTTAATATATACACTCAAAATTTCACTAATTGATTAGTTGACCAAATCAACCATTCTTACATTCCAAGCTCTATTATGTTCAAATCATAGTTTTTCAACCCGGACCGACCCGACGGGTCGACCGGAGGTAGAACCGGTGTGGGTGGGCTATTTGGACCGAGTAACATTGACCTTATAAAAAATCGGTCAACCCAACTTTGACCCTGTCGACCATGTACATTGACTCAGTCGCATCAACTCGGTTGACCCGAACGCGGGTCTGGTCGGTTGAGCTGTGATGCACTGGCTCGTTTCCGGTGAAGGCGTGCGGATGGGAGGTCTCGTGGACTCGAGCAGGCGGTGGCTAGGGCTGGTTCGGCGGTGGCTCGACGATGGCTCGCCGGATGAGGTGAGGTGGCCATATTTTGAGATGAAATGAGCTAAGGTACCAAGATGATGAAAAAAAATGAGCTAGGGTTTGTGTTTGAGTGTTGGGAGGAAGATGAAGTATGGAAATGAGGCTATGTGTATGATGTATTTATAGTAGAGAGAGTTAGCTAGGATTTGATGTTGTAGTTGGGCTTAAAATCGGGCTTGGACTTGTATAACCGGGCTTTCACCGAACTTGGACTTGGTTTTAAAAATTAAATGTTCGGGCCAGGTAGAAATTTATCGGGACTTGGACTAAAATAATTGATCGGATCGAATAGATACAATAATTGGTGGGCTCGATTTATAGGATAAAATCGAACATGGGTTCGATTTATAAAATTGGCCGGCTAGAATAATTGAACTCGCTCGAAAAAGTGATTGGAAAATTAACGGGTTCAGAATTAAAAATCGAACATGGGCTCGATTTAAATAAAATACGCCGTCTAGAGTAATTGGACTCGCTCGAGAAATGATTGGATCGAGTAAATTAAATATTCGGGTTTCGCTCGACTTAAATAAAATATTGATTATTCCAAAGCCCAGTTTTACTTTAAAATTAAAACCCATGCTTGGTCTAACTAAATCTGATTTTTAATATTAAAAATCGAATAAATTTTCATGACTTGGACTTAAAATTTAATGCAAAATAATACTAGATAAATGCATCAAATAATAAAACTTGTTATTTATGGAAATATAGTTGAGCTCTATAAATAGTAAAAATATTCGGAGCGTTACAATAACTATTATTATTGTTCTATAAAATAATGATAAATGATAACATAGAATGATAGTGTCATTTTATTCAGGTCTTACTTCTTATGCATACCAAATACATCAATGGAAAATTTGTTTCATTCATTTATTATATTTATTCCATTATTGAATCCATTCAATTCATATCAAATTTCATTCCACTATAATAATCATGCCATTAGATTTTGGCCCACACTCAACAAATTTTCTAGATCCGACACTTAATTCATTCCCTAACCCAATGGCTCCAAATAGCTAGGATAAATACAAATATATATCTCCACCTTTCCAAAGAGGGCTACCATTTTCAAAAGCCATTCCCCTCCTTTCTTCTTCTTGTTGTGATTTCTTAGTTAGTAACATTGAACCAATCAATAGTTTCACTTGTTAAACAAATATGTATATCTTGATGGTTTAGTGTTATATATTTCGATGTCATATATTTCAAATTAATATTTCTTAGTTAGTAACAATGAACCAATCAACATAAAATTTATGAAGTGACATATGTCTAATATATATTTATTGCAAGACACGTATCAATATACCATTTATAAATAGTTGTGGATGACTCTATAAGCTGAACCATCGATTCTATATAGGTCTGGCCGAGTATTTATATAATTTGTTGACCCTCAGTCTCACCACGCTCCCAGTCTATTTTCCATTTTCACCGGCCACCGCCGCACTTACACACCCACACTGAAATTCAGTTCTCTTGACTTCACCTCTATCCTTAGTCATGGTGAGAAGAGACAGGCGACCAAGAACGAGAAAGAGATCGAGAACGTGAGCCTTTTGTTATTATTATTATTATTATTATTTTTTTTTCAAATCAATTGAACTCAGTAATCGGCGTCAGCTTTCTTTCGATGTCAATTTTCGCTTGCACTGTTTTTTTTTTGTTTTTTTTTTTTTGGATCAATTGCTTGGTTTGTTTATCGCGGCTTAAGAGAATGGGATCTGGGTGATTTGTGTATGAACTGAGATTTTATCTGATTTGGCCACCTTTCTAATGTTTCTAACATTGAATAAAATCAATTGAGCTCCCGATTGTTTGCATGTACTTTTTCTTGTTTGAGAAGTGTTGATTTGTGATTAAATTTGAAAGATGTTAATAGATTTCAGGGTCTCGGGAGATTTTGGTTGCAATGGTTTTGTTAATCATGTGTTTGATTGGTTTCTAGCCGCATGAGATCTGATTTATTTGTATTATCCTTGAAAAAAAATCAATTGAGCTTTTGGCTGTTACATGTCCTTAATCTTCTTTGAGAAATGGTGACTTGTGATTAAATTGAAAAATGTTATCAGATTTGAGGGTCTCAAGAGCTTTCGGTTGCAATGGTTTTGTTAATCATGTGTTCATTAGTTTTTAGCGGCTTCAAAGGATGAGATATGATCGATCAGTGTATGAGACGGGATTTTATCTGATGTGGCCACCTTTCTCTTATGTCTTATCCTTGGAAAAACCAGTCGAGCTCTTGAATGTTTGCATGCCTCTCTTCTTCTTTAAGAAATGTTGTTTTGTGATTAAACTGAATAATATTATTAGATTTGAGGGTGTCAAGAGATTTTGGTTGCAATGGCTTTCTAAATCACGTGCTTGATTGTTTTTTGGCAGCGTAAGAGGATGGAATCTGATCAAATTGTGCATGAGCTTAGATTTTATCTGATTTGGCCAGCTTTCTCTTATGATTATTCTTAAAAAAGATCGGTTGAGCTCTTGGCTGTTTGCATGTCTCTCTTCTTCTTTGAGAAATGATGATTTGTGATTAAAAGGAAAGATGTTGTTAGATTTTAGGGTCTAAGGAGAATGAGGTTCAATTTATCTTTCACGAATTGTTATCTTATTTATTTAATTAGTTAGTTCTAATTGTCATTAAAAAAAAAAAAGCCGATTGAATTCTGTAATTGGCATGTGGATGTTTCATTGTATTTTCCATTTGTTTTGTATGTCTTATTTCGTGTCGTGATTAAAAAGAACATTTTCAGGTGACAGGTTTGTCATAATATTTAATGATTATTATTGACTAGAGTTGTTTGTCTCAAGAGAATGATATTCAGTTATTTGTCACGAACTGAAAGTTTATCTAAGATAGATAGATTCTTTTTTGTTTTGAACAATTGAAACAAGTAATTGGTTTTTGCCTTAATATCTTTACCATTTATTTTATAGATGTGTCTTGTTGACTTGTAATTGAGACATCATAGGGTGAAGTGTTTGTGATGATTATACATGTGACTAGCCTTCATTGTTTAAAATGAGATTCAATTCTTTCCACAATAAGTGTTTTCTAAGTATTTTCTCCAGGTTCTGAAGTTAGATATCGTTATCTGCATGATTAAATTAATTAATTATTATTTTCCGTTTCATCTTCATTTGTAGTTGATAACATTTCTGGGTGAAGAGTTTGTAATAATCATGTATGTGGCTAGTGGCCAGTTGTCGACGTCTCAAGAGAATGAGATTACGTGAAATTTGCATGAGTTGAGGAAATATGAGATTACGTGAAGTTTGCATGAGATGAGGAATTCATCTGATTTAGCAAGCTTTTCTTAGTGCATAACCATGTGAAGTCCTCAATCCTCGTAAAGGAATATATTGTTTGGGTTCCACACTCGTTATTACTTTTATTTTTTTATTGTTGTGTCCAATCCGAAATTGTAATTGTACTACATTCCACTTCAGCCATGATTCAGAATCATGATACAGGACCTGCAGTCTTTTTCTAATTCATTAATAAGAGAACATACATGATTGGTTCTCAAATATGATAAAAGTCAACGGTTTTGCATTTGCATTTATTAAAGACAGTTTGTCTTGGGTTTATACTAGCTAGAATCTCATATCTTTTCCAAAGGGTTATTAGATTCTCGTTCAACTGCATTAATCATATGAGAGTCAGCTTTTTACCCGTGGATTTGCCAGCTGTGAGGCTTTTCACTCTATTTTCTAACATCACGTATTTCGTTCAGCGACACTAAGGGGATGCTTGGATGTAAAAATTTTTGGTTTTTTTTGGATTTTTTTGGTTTGGTTTAGTTAGTTTTGAAAAGGTGGTTAGTTGTATATTAGAATAATATTTAAAATAAAATAATTAAAGTTGATTTGATGTAAAAGTAAGAGAGAGATGATTTGAAGTGATAGTTAGTTAAAATTATGTGAGTGGATGAGTAGTGAGTTAAAGTTGATGTGGCGTGTAAGAATGATTGATTGATATTATTTAATTATATTGATAATATTAATGATAGTGGGGTTGAGTTAAAAGTTGAGTTGGATTTTGTTGAAATTTTTTCTATGCAACCCTTGTTACTGTTATTATTTTGATCCGGTCGTTTTTTTTTGTAGATTAACAAACATCACGAGGAGGGAAGACCAGCGGCTGGAGCGGGAAGAGCGTGACCTTCCCCCAGAGGTCCTGGCATTGGTCATCTCCCGCCTCAACCTCAGAGGAAATATACGCGCCTCCGCCGTCTCCACCCGGTGGCTGGCGGCAGCCATCTCCATCCGGCAGGTCAAGTCCCCGCCGCTGCTCATGCACATTCCGAAGCGGGGAGATTTCTACGAGTTTTACGACCCGTCATCCTCCACCTCCTATGTCCTCGAGATCCCTGAGATCCGAGGGTCCCGGGTCCTCTACTCCCGGAACGGGTGGCTCCTCCTCAACAACCCCATCTCGCTGGACCTCTTCTTCTACTGCCCCTTTATCCGGTGCACTCATCCAATCCCTCAGCCATGGGACACGATCATGCCGCTGACCACTGCCTTCACTGCAGCCCCTCTTTCCGCTAACTGCATCGTCTTCTCTCTCTTCCAGACCAGAAGCACCATCACAGTCGCTGTGTGGCGGCACGGGTGGACCGAGTGGAAGTCGAACACCTTCCCGAGGCCCCTGCAGTACTTCTACAGTCCGTGGGTCCAAATCGCCTACAGCAGAGGCTGCTTCTACTGCCTGAGCCTGGAGGGTCAGCTGGGGGTGTTCGAACCGAACAGCTTCGCGTGGTCTATCCACTACATCATGGCCCCTGTCTGCGGAGGGTTAGTGGGTGAGAACCCGTGGGAGGCGAGGTTCATGGCCGAGCTCGAGGGAGAAGTTTACGTAGTGTGCACTGGCCCGGGGCCTGCCCCAGTCGTCTATCGGGTGGGCTCAGAGGAAGGGAATGAGTGGCTGCCGGTAAGGTCGCTGGAAGGGGTGGCGCTGTTCGCCAACGACCTGACGTCCCTGGCGAGGGCAGACGTGGGGACTCCCACAGCGGGGAGGATTGTCTTCTCCAAAGTGAAGTTCCACGGGGCGAAGTGCGTGATGTACTCTCCCGGCCAGGGGAGGTACTACCCGGATGCCAAGATGAAGCTTGACTGGAGAAGAGAGGAGCCATATCGAAGCATATGGATCGACGTGCCAGAAATCAACCCGGAGTTCAGGTAAGGGTATTTACTGCATGGGTAAAAGTGTCGGTGGGGGTGTCTTTTCATGTTATTACTTTTGATTTGATGTTGCCTGCCAGGGGTATCGAGTTGGGTTCGCCGGATGGTGATGATGCGGCAGCTGGTGGCGGCGATGAATAGGTATCCATCCGGAGCTGGCCCTGTTTCCGCATTTCCGCAAATGATGTTTATTTCCTTTTTAATATCGACCGTGCAGGGTCCATGAGTTGCAGACTCGAATACTTAATATTGCTTTCCATCTTTAGGAAACTATTTATCTATAACTTCTTAAAACTTCTGTGTGTAGACACAAAGATTGCATGGTTTTCTTTGACGTATGAGTATCTACACTCTCTGCATTTAATTAATTGGGAAGTAATGATTGCATATCTTTGAGTATTAAGTAAGATAAGTATGTTTGAACTGTGTTGTTATTGGCGCCACAGTCCACACTGGCTTAAATGCGCTGATTGGTTTTGGCATCACTTCTTCAGCGTTTCTGTTCATTTGTTTGAATACTTTTAACTGCATATCCTGAGTATACGTATGATTTGGAAAGTTGGGAAGTTGCATGATATAAATAATCTTTCGTGTGTGAGGAGTGAGTTATAAGATAGAGAGAAGTCTTATCTTTTATTTATTTAATTTAAATTACACATATATCTATACTTTCAAAAACTTTAGTGCTATTATGTTCTTGTCTGTGTTTTCTATTAAATAGATTGGATGAAGTAGGGTTATAGTAATAACTGATAGTATTGCAGAAAATATTTATCTGGGATGTAGGACATTGTTGTTTGGGTTTTGATGACTAGATATATTTGAAGTGTTAATATTACCGTATAATTGGAAAGTGGTATTTGGTAAATATCCTTTTCTTCTTTAAGAAGTCAATGATAATGTATTAGAGAAATCTTATTCTTTATTAAAAACATATATTTCCACATCAAAATATTTTTAGTGCTGTCTTCGGGTCTTGTTTGCTTTTCCTGATTGAGTAGATGCAATGTTTTAGGATTAAGTAGGATGACACTAATAACATGGAGATACAAAATATATGTTACAACGTAAGATTATAATTTTCGGAGTTCGTGGTGGATAACAATTTTTTTTTTTTTTTGGGTGTCGATGACTAGATATATATCTGAAGTGTTAAATATAACCTCAAAAGGTTTGGATAAACAAAACGGTACATGAACACATGACAAGGAAATAGTGGCAAAGTTAAAAGAACACATGACTAGGAAATAGTGGCAAAGTTAAATTTGATTAGATAGCAGTTCCAAGGAGTACTTTAAGTTTTTGGATGTACGTCTAGGTAAGCAACTATAGCCACAAAAGACTTGAATGGCCACAAATTATGAAATGCACTTATTGTTTTTACCATGTTTTTGTGGATCTTTGGAAGACGCTATTACGTTATGTTAATACTTAATAATTGCTCTTTGAAATTGCTGGTATATAATCACACCACCTCGGTTGCAAAGATGGATATATAATAATATCCAGGGCAAAGATAGAAATGTAATAACACTACCAGTGTTCAGACAATGTATATAATAATTGGTGCAAAAAAAAAAATATATATATATATATATATATATGTGTGTGTGTGTGTGTGTGTGTGTGTGTGTGTGTGTGTGTGTGTGTGTGTATCACTCACCACCTCCGGTGCAAGCATATATGATTAAGTCGAGTATGGATTTTTTTGTCATGAGGCAACGTATCCTGCGTTCACGTGATTATCTAATGAATCTACGTTCCACTTTCCTAAATGAGTCCTTGTTTTGAACACAAAGTCAACAAGAATTTCATTTGAGAGAGTCATGATTAGAAAATAGACAAACCATGGTTTGAAATTGGCAATGGGCTGGGGGCCCAGTTACCGTAGTTGGTCTGAGTTGGCGAACCATTTAAGGAGTTTTACGGACCTTGCTGTTGTGCCAACCTTGTTTCTTTCTATATTATCATTATGAGTAATTTTGTGCACAGTTAATTTGATTTTTCTAATAATGTAGATACTATCTTTGCCGAAGTCTTTATTTGTTGAATACTAGGATTTATGATATCACCTTTTATAGTTTTTACATGATTTTATCATTAAAGTTGTTGGCCCACAAAAAAAAAAAAAGTGAGGTGCATCAGCGTTAAAACAATGAGGTTCTTAGCTGTAGGCTTTAAATGTTAGTTGGTTTATTCTCATTTTAATAAATGATTTTACGTATTATCTGTCCTTTTTTATTCTATATGTCTCTCCGAAATTTATACATCACAAATTTGGTATTTAGACGCCACCTTTGGAAATTTCACTATTGGTAACCAATGCGTTAGATACCTTTTCAGTTATCATTGGACTAATGTAATGTGAGTCAGCTTTAAACGATCGCCTACGAGTACAGTGAGGTCATTGACTTTAGATAAGATGGGGCTCTCACTTACTTGTTGCCTCCTAGTTGCATTGTCAAGTTTGAAATTCCCTTTAGTCGTCGTGGTGCAAATATAGAAGTTCCTTTATATGTTGCAAATAAAGAAATTCACTTATGCTTACGGATATGCTATGCTGGGTTACTGGAAGTTGCCATTTGTATTATTTCATAATCTTAATTCCAATTAAAAATTATCGGATTACATGACGTATGAAATATGAAGTTGGTCTAAAAATTTTTATTGAGATTTACGATGCAATGACTATTATATGAGGAGATGTTGATATGTAATAATAATATATTCTAAAAAGATATATGGTAACAGAAAATGTGATGCATAATTATTACAATTCTCAGGGCTGTTGTCATGAACTTTCTTTTGGTTCTTTATTGTATACTTCAGAACTATATACAGAATCTAATTCTTTACATTTTTTCTTACTTCATGACAGGGACCACATAATTAAGACCCTACAATTGTGCAAGGGGGGAAGTCCTTTTGCTCGACTTGATAGCCTGCATATATCATGGCGTCCAGGTAAACTTCATGGGGCAAGCTCGTTCTGCTTCTCTCTAGCTGTCATCTGATGGTTAATGTTGCCTTTTGGTTTTCAGGGCTGATTTAAATTGACGACGTGGCACTATGCTCGATAAATTCATTCCCCATGATGCAGAGATGGAACATTTTTAGGAGGTATTCAATCTTTGAGTTGTTTAAGCTAATTATTGCTATTTGCATATTCTCATTTGTATACATCCATGCGGTATGCTACCCGCAATTCTAGAAAAACTTTCTGAATTTGGCTGGTAAATCATCTCAGTTAATACCACAAACCAGAATGTTTAGAATAATACCATTTCTTGAAATCCTGTAATTTATGATATCACCATTTTTAGTTATTAACATGTTTATGGACTAATTTAATATGAGTTGGCCTTATACACTAAATTATGCTGCTATTATTGAGCAAATATAGAAGATCAACCAAATGTGGGGCAAATATCTAAATTTACTATTATACTTACTGATATTCCTAATTTGGCTTCTGGAAAAATTGACTTGTATGGTATCTCCTTTATACCCACCCTAATTCCGATATGAAAATATCTTTTTGTAATTTACAATGTCGTATGGAACCTGAAGCTAACCAGAATATATATGTTTATACTTGTATATGTATGTACCTGTTATATAAAAATAAAGGACCTGTAGGGGGCTCAGGGGGGACATTGTGCCCCAATGAAACTTACAAAAGAACTAATGTTGCTGTGGTAATTTTATTTTGAGATAAAATAAAAAACTTTTGCAAAACATTGCATCCATTCAACATCTGGGAAGGTGAAAGCACATGTATGCACGGCCCTTAAACCAAGTTGATGTCTTGCTACTTTGCTGGTTGTTATCTGATGTGGAAATGAAATATTTAATAAACTTTTGGTGTGTTTATTTGAACAAAAGAAAACTCAATTTAGACTATTTTTTTGTTAAATATAATTTTGTTTTAAAATTTTGTCCATTTGCATATGGAGCTATGCAACTGGAAGAGTCATTGTTGACAATTCTCCTGGCATAGTGCTAATAATGGACTAGATCAAAATGGCTCAATTAAATTCTAGTGTTTCTTCTATTAGTTTAGTGAAGTTTCTAGAAAAAAAAAAAAATCAAACGACGCAACGCACCTTGGGTCGCTATGGAAACAACTCCTTGTATAATTACAAGGGTAAGGTCTGCGTACAACTGACCCCCCAGACCCCAACCTGTTGGGAATATACTGGGTATGTTGATGATGTTGATGATGATAATTTTGTTTTAAATGTGGCCTATTGCCCTATTACCTTTTGGTGTGTGTATTCTAACAAGCAAAAACTTAATTTATAATAAATTTTTTGTTAATAGAATTTTTTTTATTGTTATTATTTTTTTTATGTAGCCTATTACCCTCTTACCTTCTTAAAGGATTACAATATAAAAGTAAAATTAGTGGAGTAAGTTGATGGAAAAGATTCCAGTCACCCTCAAAGAGATCGGTTTCCCAACATATAGTTATGAATTGTGATATCAGAACACGTTTTTGCATGCACTGGGCTATGAATTAAATTTTGAAATTGAAGCAGGGTTTCAGAACATTGATTTATTTTTTCTTCTCTTGGGTGAACGTAATGTTGGACTTGCATTATGTAGCTTTCCCAATCTGCTAAAGACATGGTTTTGTATACTACGGAATCTACTTATAGGAAACTGTATTTTTTGTGCTTGAGACATCTGACCAAGAAGCTTTGTCAATTGGATCTGTTAGGGATCTAGTGAAATTCCGGTGCACCTGGTGAGTACTGTCAACAATGGATAGCAATTAGTTTTTCTTCAATAATGCAGCAAATTGAGGATACAATCAAAATGAGGGCGTGAACCCACTACCCTGGTGTTCATTGTGGTGAGAGATCCCTTTCCACTTAAATTTTGACTAGGAAATTTGAATTTATGGATCAAATTGACTAATATTTTTTCTTTTAATGTTCGAGCTTTCCGCTTTTTCAGTTGTTATTCATTTGTTTTCATTTTTTACTTTCCGCACTTTGTGCAGTTAGCCAGAAATCTTGATGTTAGTGCATGAAGAATGTTTAGAGGACTAATGCTGCAAGTGTCTCTTCTACCAGACAGGTAATATCACTAGCTAAAACTTCTGTGTGGAAATTAAATGTGCAAGTATTACATGCTTAGGGTTTTCCCAAATATTTATTAAATGAAGGTCAGTTCATGAGATATATTGCTCCATAATTGAAAAAAAAAAGAAAGTAAAAACAGTTTAGGGATGAAACTTTCTTACTTGGAGTTTGTGACATGCAGGTCAAAATCTGATAGAAAGCCAAAAACGGACACGATAACAATTATTACCCTTGAGATTTAGCCCAAATATAATAAAAGAGGGAAATCAACATATCCTCCTCCAGTTACGGAACTCCTTGACCTATTTTGACCATGTTCATTTACATCTCATTCAAGGAGTAATTTTGTTAAACAAATATAAATCTAAAGAAATGAAGAAATATTTTGTCTCCGTCTGAGTTAAAAAATACAAGTTTATTCGCCATTTACCATTACAATGTAAGAATAGGGATCCTGTCCCTTCATGGGGATCGTGTCCCTTGACATTTATACTGGAATCTTATGGCGGTGCCTAGGGCTGCAAACAAGCCGAGCCGAGTCGAGCATTAGCCTTATCGAGCAGGATTAATTTTTTTTAGCTGCACGAGCTCGAGCTCGACTCGATAAAAAATTACAATAGCTCGAGCTCGGCTCGAGCTCGACTCGAAATCAAAATGCTCGAGCTCGGCTCGAAAATTTTTAAATGGAAGATAAAATTACCATTAAGGACCTATGCTAACATATAAATAAGGGGTATTTTAGTAATTTAACATGTATCTCGAGCCGCTCGACAAGGCAAAATATGGGCTCGAGCTCGACTCGAGTTCGGTCAAACTCGAGCTCGAGTCGAGCGCTCGCGAACGGCTCGCGAGCCGCTCGGTTCGTTTGCAGCCCTAGAGGTGCCTCTTTTTCTGCTGATGAAGCACGTTGGTTTTAAATAAAACGTGGTTCATAGTTCTCGGTTTAAAATTCAGCAAACTCAATTTGTTTGTTTCATAAGTAATGATTTTGTGTACATCACAATTAGTTAAGTATTTAGAAACTACATCTGTCATTAGGAGCTACCTCACTCAAAATCTCATTTTCTATACTCTATAATAAATGATGTTCTTCTACATTGCCTGGATGTAGCTGCGGCTCCTTCTACTTCTTCAGGCATGGGAACTTCTACGAGTTCTACAACTTTTGCGCTCCACCTCCCACTTCCTTGAGCTGCTTCAAATCCGTGGATCCTCTGTTTGCTACTCCAGGGACTGGTGGCTGCACCTCACCCACCTTCGATCCACGATCCGCTTCGACCTGGCTAGAAGAAGAAAGAAATCGAAGTTGTGAGTTTTACTTATTTCTTTGTTTATCATTTTTTTTTTTTTTTTTTGGGAACTTCATGTCTTGTTTACATCATTCTTTTTTTCTTTTCTTTTCATATTAATTCTATATTCATATGTGAAAGCTCAGATATTCCATGCGTTTCATGACATTTGTATTGGTTCTTGATAATGTCACCTTCTTGTGAGCTAATGAGTCACTTACGTAGCACTGATTAGTATCTCGCTAAGTAATTACTTCACTTGAGTTCATGACATTTATATTGGTATCTTGATGGTGTGACCTCCTTATGCGCTAAGTAATTACTTCACTTGCACTGATTAGTATCTCTAAAAAAGAAAAATTTTGCGCAACTGATGTTAATTTGTTTGTGCAGCACTTGCGCACCCGAGGTATGTATTTTAAATAGTACTATTAATTTCTGTCCTTTTCCCTCTAAAAAGGAGACACATGATTGTTGCGCTTCTTATTGGACAAGCGGAACATGCAATCGATCTGAATTTGGAGCGTGGCGGGAATAGTTGTCTTCTTCAAGGTGAGAAATACATACAACCTACATGCATAACAGTATAACACTACTTTTTTCATCTAAATTTCGAACACTTTAACTGTTTTCTATATTGTCTTCTCCAAAGTGAAGTTCCACGGGGCCTGGTGCGTGATGTACTCTCCCGTCCAGGGAGGTACTACCCGAACGCCAAGCAGAAGGTTGACTGGAGAAGAGAGGGGCCATATCGAAGCATATGGATCGACGTGCCAGAAATCATCCCGGAGTTCAGGTAAGGGTATTTACTATTCACTGCATGGGTAAAAGTGTCGGTGGAGGCGACTTCTCATGTTATTACTTTTGATTTGATGTTATTTCCTTTTTAATATTAAACCGTGCAGGGTCCATGAGTTGCTGACTCGAATACATAATATTGCTTCCCGTCTTTGGGAAACTATTAATCTCTAACTTTTTAAAACTTTTGTGTATAGACGCAAAGTTTACATGGTTTTCTTTGACGTATAAGCATCTATACTTTCTGCATTTAATTAATTTGGAAGTAGTGATTGCATTTAATTAATTTCAAAGCGCTCTGCATCTTAGCTCAGCTCATCTATTTCTCGGCTCATTTTCACCACCTCAGCTTTCCATGTGTTCATGACATTTATATTGGTATCTTAATGATGTCACCTCCTTATATGCTACGTAGTTACTTCTCTTGCACTGATTAGTATCTCTAATGAGAAAAAAATTGCGCAACTGATGTTTATTTTGTTTGTGCATCACTTGCGCAACCGAGGTAAGTATTATCCTAAATAGTACTATTAAATTATTAATTATGTCCTTTTTATCCATAAAAAAGAGAGATATTATTGTTTAGCTTCTTATTGGACGAGCAGAATATGCAATCGATCTGCATTTGGAGTGTTCCGAGGGATATTGTCTTTTTTAAGGTGAGAAATACGCACAACCTACATGCATAACAGTACTTTATTGGTCTAAATTTTGTACACTTTACATGTTTTCTATAGTGTTAGTAAAATATTATGAGATGATTACACAATGAATATAATTCCATTCCACAGAAGACTCTATACTGCAATTTCAGCATGCGGAAAATTACTCGTTAGCGCCAGCACTGTTAAAAAGCAGACTCACATTACTCGTTAGTGCATGCATGTCATTTAATTTTTGTATATTACCTGAGATATATAAGCTAGCATTCATAGAAAGGAGATTACATTTGACAGTGACTGTGACTGACTATGGTCTGAGTCGTGGATGAGACAATTCAAATGTGATGGATTTTCTATTGAAATTTATAATATCTCAAAGGGATGGTAGGTATATTTGTTATAATATATATTGGTATTGTGAGTCATACAAAAATATTTGAATGTTGGAAGTTGATTTAATGATAGCAATGATTGGATATGCGTGAGTCATAACGTAAATTTTTCACTATTTTGTTATCTTGATGGTGTCACATACATTTGCGCTGCTCTTATTTTCATTGTACATCACTTGCGCTGCCAAGGAATTTATTTATCACCCTAAAATTAATACTTTGTCCTTTCGTTCCATTCTCTCCAGTAGAATACATGGAGTATATGACTTTGTTGATCAACCTGTTATGACAAATGTTTGTTTAGTTTTCTTTTGTCATATCAACTGTTTGGAGTCCATGCTCTGCAGAATTGTATAAGTAAAGCTCCTAGGCTAGCTCGGTCGGTTCTTCTAGCAAAGAACTTGCATGGTTTGTTTATAGAAGAAAGTCAGGCAAGGTCCTCAAAGCTTTTATGCATATCAACTGATAAGAATTTGACCTTTATCAGTATTAAGGTTATTTTGATCAGAATTTTGCATTTATTTTGATCAGAATCTTGCATGTATAGTGTTTTTGTATTTTATTTATTTATTTATTTATTTTTGTTTTTAACCGTGTTTAAAATGCGAATATCTGTCGATATTGGATGCATGTATGTTGATATCCGTGTTTAAAATGCGCAATTGGTAGCTGATTTTGTACGGGAATTTATTACCCAAATATTATACTTGCAAGAACATTGAATTGGTGCGCCTGAGGACACCTCGAATCAATTCTGAAGGTGACAATACTTACTATACGACTAACTTTCTTTGGTTGATTGCTGGCGGGAATGAGTAGACGAGCTGTTATAAATAATGTATTTTATTTTATTTTTTTCCTTTTCTGTCGACCGGTCGTAGTTAATGAACTGCCGAGTTGAATAATTTGCATTACCTATGTGCTTTTGGAAACTTGTAAATGTAACGACACCTGAAACTTTAATTGAAAAGGTGTGGATTATTATTTCCCAGAAGCAGTTTACATGATCTGAGGAATAAGATTACATACGTTTTTGTGAGTTTGGGACTTGAACCACTTTGAATACTCGGTTTTCTCGTAAAAAGCTAGATTTGTGTTTGGGTTCGCTCGTCTCGTTTCATTATCTTTTGTGTAGAACTTTGAAATCCTTTCCACAACCCACAGAACTGTCTATATGAATGTGATGAAAAATCCTTCACGAATAACAGATCTGTCAAAATCTTCGTGTCTCAAATATAACTATTAATCATGTGCTGGTAAAGAATGTTCAGTTAATTCACGTTTAAAGTTGTACTCCATACAAATCACATGCACAATTTGGCAAAAAAAGTAGTAATTATTTTACTATTCAATACATAGTTTTGCTAGTCAGTTCAACATAACAAGAAATGCTATATAGGGTGAAACCACAAATAGTAAGTATCTTCACATTGTATAACGATTATAGACCCTCAATCAATTATCCCCTGAATTTCTTTTTGGTGGTTGACGGCCTTTCAGAGTGCTTCAAGCAATTTCTTCAGCAAATATGATATCATATACGAGTTGAACTGCAGTGAAAATCATAAACGAAAGATTTATAACATTTGAAATAAATTTCAATATAATTAACGGGATATACACATTAAGTCTAAAGCGTATTGCCCGAACATGTCAGCATTCAAACCCAAGTTGGCTCTGATATATGGTCTCTATTTTTCTCCTATAAGCTTTAACAAGTAATTAATCTCCATTTTAACTCATCTACGTCTTAACGCTATAAGATTAACTAAGCCAAGAATAATAGGAAAACTGAATTTTAACTTACCTTCTTCACGAGGAATATTAGGTTGATCAACCAGTAACTGTTGAAGTGCACCTAGATCATCATTTGCACTAAAGATGAAATAAAACCAAAAGTTTATAAAAGTGGGTAAGCATTTGAGAAGCATAAGATTATCATTGTAAAAATTAAACAACGAATACAAAAGAAAAATTTAGATAGCACAAAGAACAAAAATATATGTGCTGAGAAACTAGTGAAAATGGAAAGAGAAGTAAAAAGCTATATCATTTGCATATATTGGGAATACTTGTTTTTGCCAAAAAAAAAAAAAA